TTTTTTTATTCTCTTCCTACGTAGCGCAAACATAGACTAGAAAGGGCGGACTGGGAGGGTGGGAAGTAAATAACTTAATTTCTGTCTTTTTCTGTCCGCTGTTTTTTGTTTGGTGTCGCTCCACTTTTGTGGCCATATTGTAATTTGGTGAATGGGATGGAGAGACGGGGGACGCGGTGTTTACTGACTGAAGAAAGGCAAGCAATAAAGTGGGAGATAAGTGCTTGTGATATTGGAGTTGAAAGCAGAAAAAAAAAACAACGTGGCTGATTAGAGCAGCCACAGCAGGAAGGGAGAAGCTCTCACTCCAGGAGAGGAAAGTTCAGAGTAGTTCTGGAAGATATTTCCTTAGCATGGAAAATGAGGCAAAATACTTCACACTTAAATATTAAAGGGAATTTGATGATAGAAAAAAAGAAAAAGAAAAAAGAAAAGAAAAGTTGTTGCTTTGACTCAAATGTGAGGAAAAAGGAAGTTGATTAATTTCAACTGAATTGCGATTAAGCAGTGATTCAGCAAGCGTTCAGTGACTCATCGAAATTACCCTTTTCGTTTCACCAAAATTTCTGTTAGCATTTCTGGCTAGCTTTTAGCTACCTCGAAATGTTGAAATTTAAGTTGAGTTGATTCAAGTTTTCTTATCCTGTGACTAGTTTTTAGGTACATTTGGCTAACCTTACTCAACACTTGACTTACAGTTTACATTTTGTTAAAGTCTTGCTAGCTGTTAGCCATCAGCTAAGTAACCGTTTTACTTGTTTTATGTCTTTAAATCCCTGTTGTTGCACGAATCTAGTGGATTTTCTGGAACATTGACCATTTTTTCTGTTATTTATTTTTAAGTAAAGAGGATTTTGGTTCATTTTGGTTTTCACGTGATCTCAGTTTGGGAACAGATCTTAAATTCAACCAAGCTAAACAAAACCAGACAGGTGTAACGGCCAAATTTCTTTTTCAAAAAGCAAACAATCTTTCATTTCAGATCCAAGTAAAAGGCACCATTTGAAAGATTTGAATTGACATTTGCAACTATTTTCTGCTGTATCATGTTGAAAAACGTCCTTTTTTTTTTTTTTTTACGATTGACCAAAAAAATATAAGTAAAATTGCGTGTGCTAAATTGAATAAATACTAAATGCTAATTGAATCTGTACCATTTTTTTTTTTAATAAATGGGAGCGAAACGCACCCAGTTTTATTATCTTTCTCACCCCTAAAATGACCTGACTTCACTTCAAATTTAACACAATTATGTCTGGAGCAAAAAAAAAAAAATATGATTATGGCTCGGGGTTAAATCTAAAAATCCAATCTATATGTAAATTTACGATGGTAATGTGGTGACGAAAGAAATCAACGCTGGGGCGGACGTTCCCACTCATGAACATAAAGATGTGCCTGTACGAAAAAAAAGTTACATTTAAGACCATATAGAGTTATATTCATCATTACGTTTAAGATTTACATTTGTACATATATGTCAACTGTACATTCTATCATTCAATCTTTATCATTAAACGAGGGTAGACAGGTCTGAATAATCCAGGCCAAATTGCGGGGGACGATTACAGGCTGGTGATGATCAGGTAATAAACGTGTTGAAGACATTTGCAGCAGCGTCTGACACAGCGGGCCAAAGTGTGTGTGTCAAACACACACACACACACACACAGAGAGAGAGAGAGATTAAACATGCCCTGCATGATGCAATGCATGTAAGAGTCAGTTGGTCAAAGAGTCAAGGCTAAAAGTCAATACATTAATTATTAAACCGCGCTTTTCGTCCGAATCAGCAGAAACAGTTTTACTTTTTAAGATTCATGTGGCTTATCTGCCATGTATCCTACATCAAGATTCCTACTACAAGATTTAGATTTGTACTGTACTGTACTGAATCAGAATTTTTTTTCTGATTCAGTAGTTTTGGGAATTGAACACTTTGCTTTTGAACTGAAAAAAATTCAATTCTTAATTTCACAGTTATGATATCGAGGGTAGTAACTTTTGGAAGTCCCAAATGCCGTAACGCCAATGTCATAAATCTGGGTAGTAACTTTTGGAAGTCCCAAATGTCGTAAATCACACATTTAAAATACATTTAAATCTCACTCAAATGTTGACTTTTCTGAAGTCAAACCCTATAAAGAACTTCATCTGGTTGTTTGTTTCAAACACTCTCCTTAAATTGATTGTTGAGTTTGTTGTTTTGTTCTGTGTTTTCACATTGCTGTTAAAACAAATAAAAACTAAATAATCCGCAGTTCTCCGAGTCAGGCTTTTACAGTCCATGCTGCACAGCAACAGTGCAGAAACAAACACACACAGACACAGACAGACACAGAGGAATTGGGTCAGTACCTGCAGTTGTAGGTGCGGATCTCCTTGTTGTCCCTCTTACATTTGACCGCCACGAAGATCATGGTGACGAAGAGAATGGCGGCGATGGAGCCCAGGGCGATGATGAAGATCAGGGACAGGTTGACAGGTCCAATGGGCTCCTGGGCGTTCAGGTCGGGGGACAGGTAAACAACGATGTAGGCCGAGGCCGAGAGGGAGGGCTTGCCGTGGTCTCGAGCGACCACTGTGATCTCATAGGTGGACTTGGAGCTCTCCCCGAACATCTTGGTGGAACGGACTTCTCCGTTCACCTGGTCGATCACGAAGAACGCCCGGTCGCCCTCCGAGATGGTGTAGGTCAGACGGCCGTTCTCGCCCTCGTCGTAGTCGTCCGCCTTCACCTGGGTCACCATGTAGCCCACTCCCGCGTTCCTGGGTATGGAGACCTCAGCGGTCCCATTGACCAGCGGTGGGTTAGTCATCACGGGTGTGTTGTCGTTCACGTCCAGAACCACGATCCTCACGGTGGCGTTGCTGGACAAAGACGGGTTCCCGTTGTCTCTGGCCAGAACTTTGAAATCGAAAGTCCTGGTGTACTCGTGGTCAAAGGATCGCATGGAGTAGATGCGCCCTGAGGGGTTAATGCTGACATAGGTGTTTACATCCATGTGCTTGATCTCACCTGGAACAATGGAGTAAGAAACCGTTCCATTCATGCCCAGGTCTGGATCTTCTGCTGAGACTGCCAGCAGACATGATCCAGGCAGGTTGTTCTCCATCACCATCTCCTGATAATGAGGTTTCAGGAAGTGGGGAGGGTTGTCGTTCTCGTCCGCCACCTTCACCACCAGAGACTTGGTGGCGCGTAAAGGTGGAAGCCCGCTGTCTTCCGCCTGGATGGTCAGGTTGTAGGTGTCCTTCTGCTCCCTGTCCAGCCTGCCGTCCACCAGGATGGTGGAGAAGCTCTCGTACTCCTGCAGCCTGAAGGGAACGTTCCCTTGCAGCCTGCACTGGACCTTCCCGTTAGCTCCGGAGTCCTTATCCGACACCCGGACCAGTGCAATCACGTAGCCACGCTGTGCGTTTTCACTCACCTCCACCATCTCCGTGTTGAGCGAGAGCAGACTGATGACAGGTGGGTTGTCGTTGGTGTCCATCACGTTCACCGTCACTTTGCAGTGAGCGGGGATGGAGTTCGGACCCAGGTCTTTAGCTTGGACGTCTATCTCGTAGATCTGCGTGTTTTCATAATCCAGAATCCCGTTGACGGTGATGATCCCGGTTCTGGGGTCAATCTTAAAGGCATCCCTGGTTTTCTCTGTGACGTAACTATTGAAAGAGTACACAATCTCTCCATTGGTGCCCTCATCTGGATCAGTGGCGTTCAGATCAATGACTACGGTGTTGACGGGTGAATTCTCCATCACGTTCACGGTGTACACGGGCTCGTCGAATACGGGATTGTTGTCGTTAGAGTCGATCACTTTGATGTTTAGCTGGACCGCGCCTATCTTTGGAGGGTCTCCTCCATCCTCGGCACTGATCTCGTACGTGTAGTGAGACTGAGTCTCCCTGTCCAGAGACTTCTGCACCACCAGCTCTGCGATCTTGGAGCCGTCACCTCTGGTCTTTATTTCTAATCCAAAAAGCTCATTCGGAGTGATGGAGTACGACTGCACTCCAAACACCCCAGAGTCCGGATCACTTGCCCCCTCTAGGGGGAACCTGGTACCAGGCGACGCGTTCTCTGAAATCTCAATGTCGATGTGGCTGGTGGGGAATCTGGGTGCGTTATCGTTCAAATCCTCGATTTCAACTTTAATGACACAGATCTCCATGGAGTTAGACATGACTTCCAGGGAGATGACACACTTAGGGTTCTGCCGACAAACCACATCGCGGTCTATCTTCATTTGGGTTGTAAGGATTCCGGCCGGACTTAGTTCCACCCATCGCGGTTCCGAATTGGAAATAACCCTCAAGTAAGGAGGCTGCGGTGCAATCTGAAATCCCTGTTTCAGCGCGTCCTTTGTCACGTTTCCAATCACTGAGCCGGGCTTCATCTCCTCGTTTATTCCATACTTTAGGTTGATCACCGCCTCGGTTCCGAGCCAGAACAAGAGAAACACGGCGATCGATTGAATTAATTCCATCATTCTAGTCTCTTTTTTTTCCCTCTCTCTCTCTCTCTTTAAGCCCCGAACCTGTTGATTTTTGTTTTTTTGTTTGTTTTTTGTTTTTTTTTTCTTAAACAATTGTGCACAAGAAATGCGTGCGTCAGAGAGAAGAGCAAAAGGGCTCCAAATGAATCATCTCATTGAAATGTCCAGGAATGTGCTGCGGCGCGTGCGTACGCAAACTAAATCATGATGTTAAAAAAAAAGGTTGGAATTGTAACAAGTGCCTTCTCACCCTCGGGTTGTTTTGTCCTCTTTTTCTCCACTCTTTCAGGGGCAGAGCACGTCGTCTCGTCTGCCGCAGATCTGCGAAAACATGCCCAATCTTCTCATTCGGACGGGGTAAATCCGGGCGAAAGCTGCGCTTACGCACGACTCTCACAGGTCGGCACAGAGGTGGAACAGCGGTATTTCGAGTGGCACTGGCAGAAAAAAAATTTTAAATTCCTAACAGAAGAAAAGGGAAATCAAAGGATTTCGGACAGAATGTGGCTTCAGAAGTCCGTGTTTGGTTCTCCTCCAGGAGGGTTTTGGATAATCATCTTGTTCTGGGCTGGTGTTAAGTACAAGCAGCAGTGATAAAAAAAAAATCCCCCCCTCTCTCTCTCTCTGGGCGGCACAAACTGCACCTCTGAAGATGACACCAAATTATTCAACAGCTTCTTTCGCGGCTTCAAACTGCTGGACTCTCTCGCAAAATTACTTAAGTAGCCGTTCCACCTTTAAAAAAAAAAAAAAATTCCCCCTTAATTTTCAGAGTTATTTCCAGCAGATTTCTTTTGGTCAGTCTTTCATCTGCAATTGAATCTCCTCCACTTGCACAAATCCTGGTGATTGTTTTTTCCGATGAAAAAGGGAAAACAATCCGGGGAGGAAAGAAGAAAAAAAAATCCGTGAATGAAAATGAAAAGAAAAAAAAAAAGGAAGGGAGGACGTGGTTGGTCTCTGCAGCTGAAGCGGCTGAAGCTGCTGAAGCGGCTGAAGCTGCAGCAGTGAATCCAGGACTCGTGCACTGAGGCAGAAGCTGAAGAGGGGAAAAGGAGCAGCAGCAAGATTTTTTTTTTTTTCTTTCTCTTTTTCAGGTCGACTCACTGACTCTCCTCTCCAAACATGCGCTCCTCTCGCTGCGCTGCGCACACTGGAAGACGCGCAGCTACCAGGCGACCGCTCCGTCTCAGGACCCGCAATCCCCTCAGCCAATCAGGGGTTACACAGGAGAAGAGGGCTGGTTTTTTGAGGGAGAGAGAGCTAGAGAGGGAGAGAGAGAGAGAGAGAGAGGGAGAGTGGGGGGGAGAGCTGTTTCTGTTGGTGGGAGGGGCGATGGAGCACAAGCAATGAAACACAAGCCAGAAACTACCTGTTCTGTTTCTACTCTGCTCTTCATGCGGATAAATAGATGGATGGATGGATGGATGGATGAGGGCGACTGCAGGGGCGCACAGGTCGGAACGTGGGGTAAAAAGGAATCTCTGCATGGAGGAGAGGGAAAAAAAAAAAAAAAAAGAATCAGTTTTTTTTTTCTTCTTCCAACTGTGTGGAACAAGTGATATTTAATCTCAGTGACGGTAAATCTAAGGGAACAGTTTAGAGCTTGATGTGCGTTCAAGACTCTGACCTCTGGTAAATATAGCATCACATCATCATCATCATCATCATCATCATCATCATCATCATCATCGTCATCACTGCGCCTCCTTTCAAAGTCCGGGGGGGGGGGGGGGGGGGCTGTTGATCCAAACGCGCGCCGACTGCAATTAGACGCATCCTGTTGCGTCACGAGGCTTTTCTGCGCGTTTAATGTCTAACGTCTGAAGTTGCGCGGATACACCGGAAGTCAGGGTGAGCGTTGTTTTTTTTTTTTGTTTTTTGTTTTGGTTCTTTTCTTCCGTTTTGCGCATTTTATAAACATTTTCCAATTGTCAACAGGAGCACATCTTTGTTCCTTAAAACGCAACAGGGTGAGCGTTGTTACCCTCCCCTCCCCTTCCCTCTCCTCCCTAACACACACATTCACACACACACTCTCTTCTGACAACAGTTCACCAAATTCCCTCCCGCGTGGCAACGGCGTGTCCAAATCCGTGTCCTCTCATCTCCTATTCTACAGCAACACCTGCTCCGGCAATCACTAGTTGCCACCTGACTGCACAACGCCGCGCCACCCCGCCCCTATGGTGCAAGGGTGCCACCTATAGACCAGGTTAGGGCACTGCAGCTGGTTGAAAGACGTCGGAAGTCAAGAGTCACCCCGGCTCTTCGTCGACGAGAAGTTGACTAGAAACGTTTTTTTTTTTTTTTTTTTTTTTTTTTTGTCTTTTCATCCGTTTCTTTGGTGCGACCTCTCGCAACAAGGTGAAAGACACAGGGCTTTTTACCAGTGCCCATTATGTCCTCCTGTTTGAATCATGACACCGCAGTATACGTAAAACACAAACAGACGTTAAAATGACAGGGGGAAAAAAACCACATGCATATTTTTAGCTCTCAGACTATTAGATATTTCCTATTTTCTACTAATCACAAATTTGTGATGTATTTTTTAAATAAAGTTATTTGTCATGTTGTTGGTTCAAAAATAATTTTTATTATTATTATTATTATTTATGACGTGACTGTGACTCATATCTGATGACCAGCCGAATCGGAGAATACATGTTGGAAGAAAATGTTCTTTTCAGATGATATTAAAGTGAATTTATTAACATGTCAAAAAGAGCTTTATCTAATGAACGTGAATAATCTGCTGCTGCCGCTGCTGCTGCCGCTGCTGCTGCGATATGAGTCCATATTTCAGTGTGCGGGTGAATAATGAGGAGACTGGCCTGTGACCTGTCTGTGATCACCACGAGAAAAGGGAACAAACCCAGTCACTTATCAAACATTATTCACTGTCTTATCTGCATGTAATTCACACCGACACGGAAGCACTGAGTGAAACTCTCCGCCACGTGTACAAATGAAAAGAGAAAAAAGGAGGAGGAGGAGGAGAAGGAGGTGAAGATGAAATTCACGAAGAAAAAAGGAGACCATCAGCATCAGCACCACCCTCCTCCTCTCTGCAGATACAGATTTCTCTTCTGCTTCTGCTGCTGCTGCTGCTGCGGCTGCTGCCACCGCCTCCACTCTGAGGACGAAGCGCTTTATTAAGTCACAAGGGTGACACCTAGCGTCCGCTAGCACTCGTTTTATCCTTTTTCTACATTGTGTACCCCCCCCAAAAAACACGCAGACGTGATTCGAGAAATACAGTTGAAAACAGAGAGGTTTTTTTTTTTTTTTTTAAATATGTGCAAAAATGAAGTAATATCACGATCATTAGTCAACAGGAAGTGATTGAACTCTGTATATGTCTATAGAAAAGCAAAGACAGGAAACAAAAAAATAAAAATAAAAACAGTAAAATACATAAAAATCCCAAACGGAGCTAAAAATGTTTTTTAGCAAAAATTAAAAAAATTTATAAAAAATCATGTCTATGATAAGCTGTAATCAAAGTCGATTTGAATTGGTGAGCCTCCACCCTCCGATCTTTGACCAAGAGCTCTACAGAGGCGTCGTGTCTGCTGTAGGTTCCACGGCTGTGACGGAACAAGGACCACTGCGCTTCAGTGTTCGAGATGAAGACTATCCTGAGGTAAAACACAGGGGGTTCCACAGAGCACTTTAACAGTTTGGCAGAACTAATTATGGAGCAGTGGAATCTGTGTATGATCATTTAAGTTTTGTATTTTAGTCCATGATACATTATTATTATTATTATGATTATATACATCAGGGGTGTCACACATACAGCCCGCGGGCCAAATCCGGCCCACTAGGAAGTTCAATCTGGCCCGCTTGATGAATTTTGAAAAATATGATAAGTACAATTATATTTCATTAAACATGAAGATTTATCCAATACACTTGTACTTCCTTGCGGGGAAAACAAAGGGGAAAAACATGGATTCATTGCTATTTATAAGGTAATTATGTTATGTTTGCACAGGTCTGGTCCGTTTGACAAATGAGTTTGACACCCCTTATGTGTTGCGTAAGGGGTGTCAAACTCCCTCCGCCCCCCCCCCCCCCCCCC